ACTCTGTCATTGGTTAACTTGTGGAGGCAGGTAGGAGGAGGATTCTATTGGATCTAAAGTCTCATGATGCGGGAACTCTTGGGCCTATATAAAAGACATGTTCTTCATTCTTTAAGAAAAAAATAAATAAATAACAAAATAAAAATAATAATACACGTATACTTTCTGAATGATCTACCGTTTCTCCTAAAAAAAGCCCTATTGACTTGAGCATTAGAGTGTTCACGCCGGGACCACCACCGGCGTGTTTGACAGGTACCGGCAATCGAGAAGAAAGAAACCGGTTCGAGACGAACGGTTGAGCGGCTTGCAAATTCGTGGTGTAACAATATCTACCGATTCAAATGTGTAATTAATTAATAATATTGATAATACATAATTACAGTTGAGTATATTAAAAGAATTAAATATAAAAATATGGAAAAGTGGTAGTGATTATTTACTATCTGCTTCTGTAAAATCAATTATTTTAATTATTTGAAAAATAAATTTACACAAAATTGATTTATGAATTGTCCTTGCAAGTGAATATAGTGAATTGAATTCAATCATCCTATATCTTAACCCCTTAAATCATATATCGATACATTGATCTAAAACAATATGCTACACCCAATAATATAACCAGCTTTCACTCAATTATTTGCTCTAATTATTGATGTCGAGCAATTGAGGAGAAAATGATTGATCACTTGTCTTCTAAATCATCTCTCCTACTTTACATCAAATTAATTTTAATTATTTTATTTTAAATATTTTTTAATATAACAAACTAAAAAATTAAACAAAACCAAAAATCTATCATTATATTAAAAGAATAACCTTTTTATGATTTCCCGCCAAAATCATTATTTTCCCTCCAAAATCATTAAATACCTGCCAAAATTATTATTTCCCCTCTAAAAATGATTTTGTCCCTCCAAAATCATTAAATACCTGCCAAAATTATTATTTTCCCTCTAAAATCATTAAATACCCGCTAAAATCATTATTTTTCCTCTAAAATCATTAAATAAACAGTGATATAGTGTTAACAAAAAAAATCGTGCGCTGATTTTTGTGATGTTTTTTTTTTCCTATTTTTTTAGGTTAACAAAATAATACATGTCATGGTTTTTGTGATGTTTCCATTTTTCTTATTTTTTTAGGTTAACAAAATAATAGATATTGTGTTGATTTGTTTCCCTTTTCATTTAAAATCTTTTTAGGCAGAAATTTCGAAACATTATATCTGATTTAATGTGTAGATATTTATTTATTTTTTTTTTGACCGAAGGTGTTTATTAAATTAGCCTTATAATATTTTAGTTATTTTAAACAAATTGTTTAGACATTTGTTTTTTTTTTTTACATATTCGTCTATATATACACATATACATAATTGATGTTAAATTTAATTATTTGTAGACATGCTTTTTTTACAAAATAGTCTAGAAATTTTTCTTTACATAATGTTAAATTCAAATGTTTTTAGATATGTTTTCTTTCTAAAATTGTTTATAAAAGTTGTAGGTGACTTCATATCTTTTAAAAATAATATATAAAATTTTGAATACTCTTACATATACTAATATAATATTTTAGGTGTTTTTAATATTAAACATACAAATTTTATATTCTATTATACACAATAATATAAAATTTATATTCTCTTATACAAAATAATTTTATATTGTCTGACCCCGACACTTTACTATATAATTATTAATTTTTTCTTCCTCTTTTTAAATAAGATCAATAATAGTTTCCACTTCCGTCATTGAGTGACTCAAACTCGAGCTATATTTATAATATTGTTAATATAATATTATTACCGTGCATCGCACGGGGTACACACTAGTTTTCATAAACAAACATGCTCTTAATTAACGTCTTGCAAGTGGAGTCGAGTTCACGAGCCGTTGGTTTCGTTTGAATACCTCTAATCCCAGCAACTGATGAAAACAGGTAACAATGCCACATGTTGATTAAACTTATCCTTCAAACTCTCACCATTGCCACCACAGTTCTCCTCCCAAACGGTAAATGTATGAACAATTTCACCACCGTCGTTTATCTTCATTATCGACACTTTAGCCGAACTTTCTCCTCTCTCAAAGCTTCTAGAACCTTCCAAGACCGGATTATATCCTTGACTTCTTGCCGGCCCTCCGCCAGGATTTTGCCCCCTGCTAATGGCCTCGGCAAGCGAATTCTTCATCGTGCAATGCAAGCAACAAAAATTGTAACTAATTACTGGATTTTGCCGGTGGAATTGTTCGAAATAGCAAAATTTAGAATTTTGTATCAAGTGATAACAACAGAAACTACGAGAGGTTCAGAGCATAACATGTGGGGGTGAGAATATTAGAACTTTAACTAGAAAGGTAAAAACTGGTAAAGGAGAAACAAATGCCATGCAGGATCTGTAAGACCACAAT